GTACATGATGGTCAGATTTCCCCAAACTGTCAAGCTGAAAAAACACAACCCATTTTTATGAACATTGATAATTCTAAAAAAATGATTTTTCAAAGAATCGATGGAATATTATGTTGCAGGCCATTGTTATAAAAGCTAGTGTCTGGATGAGCAAACTTACACAAAATGAAGCCTCCGACTCAAACACTTGAAATCTTTCAAGATGAATAATATGGCCTGTATTCTACCAAAATTTAAAACGTACTCTGGGCGCTTCTGTTGAAAATTGGGTTAAACAAATGAACCATATTCTGGGCGCTTTTATTAAAAATTCAATTTTAAACCAAAGATCTTAATCTGAGGTCTAAGTTTTCTTTTGTTGAGAATGACCTTTATTAGACCCGGGTTTAGGGTTCAACTGAATAAGGAGAATACAGACTTTTCATGCATGTTTACATTAATAAATTTCTGATGTACATGCACATGTAGATGATGTAAGGACTTTATGTCTGAGGTCTAAGTTTTCTTTTGTTGAGAGTGATCTTTATTAGACCCGGGGTCAGGGTTCAACTGAATAAGGAGAATACAGACTTTACATGCATGTTTACATTAATAAATTCCTGATGTACATGCGCATGTAGATGATGTAGGGACTTTATGGATTCAGAGTTACAAATCTTCAACAAGTATAAACCTTGGAAGATTCAGCACCTCTGTATGTCTAATGTGCACTACACGAGTGCTCTTGATGCTGCGATCATCACATGTACATTAATGCATGATGTTTTGCAAGTAGATGGAATACGATGTGATGATGTCATCACCTTGGAATTTCATTGAGTTGAGTTGCTCAGACAGGCTTTGGCAGATGTAATGGACACTTAAAGGCGATGATGTCATTTCACGGGTAGGATACAAGATGTTGACATTCCTTATCAAACTGTCAATGCCAAATCATCAGATGGAAATTCCCATTTCGTATTAACAAGAAATACAAATAAAATACAGGTACAGGTACAAAGCTCATCCGAGAGTTCAATGTTTATCTTTTTGTCACATTACACCATCAAATTTGATCCCCATCAAATGTCACACATAAAAATAGATCATGTACATTACTCTACTTTGTTTTCACTTCTCTATTTGTACAATTTTATACAAATAACAAATGTGCATGTCAGTCATTTTGCTGGACAAAATTTCATTTATTTATCTCTTTCTAAAAACAATTCCAAATTCCTCACTCCCTAATTATAAATAGAAGAATTGACTGCAGTCCATTTTTTGTTCTTTTCGAAAACCATTAACCACAGATCTGTATTCTATCTAGTATCCAGCCATGTGACTGGTGCCAAAATAATGTGCCCACCGCCTTTTACCTGTGCTATCTGCCAGCAGCTGGTATGATTTATAAATATGAAAATTATTGGTCACAGGTCATTACCAATTCCTTTCAAAGTAGAGGGGTATCTCGGTTAATATACATTGGCAATAGATTGAACACATGTGACTTGTTGTCTAAACACTGGGAATGTACGAGGCGTTCCAGTGCATTCACAACATGGCTCTCTAATTACCGACATGCGTCAGTTGAGGTAGTGGGACACGCTTCAAAACTTTTGTACAAAATACGTGGAACACGTACACAAACCTGAAAGTTACCGGTAGTTAAAATCACACTGTTTAAAATAGTGTGTAGAAGATGTCTACACTATGGAGGATTTGATGTCCATCGTCACTTGATAATTTGAATAAATTGATGTCATAGTGTTGCTGAGAGTGGGAGAGCGAGAGAGAGAGAGAGAAGGGGGAGGGGGGGGGGGGGAGAAAGAACAAAAAGAGAGATTTGGTTTGGAAGTGACGAGGAAACTTATATACCTGTGGAAACATGATGAACACCAAATGATATAGATCTATTCGGTAGCTTGTAGACCTACACCAAATGTAACAATATACTTTGAATGACGGTAGTATACCATTTCCTGTAGAGGCGGTCTACTTTACAGGGACATTCTTGTCAGTTGTGAAGCATGTGTGGGGTGCGATAAAAAGGAAATGTACAGCAGAAGATGTACCAACTACCATTGTCCAAAGGTCATATCCTATTGTACTGTTCATACACGTATACGAACTGAAAATTGACTGATGTTATAATTAGCAAGGACACAATTTCAAGTTCCGCTTCTGTACTAAAAAGGTTTATGACAGATGTAATCAAAACTATGATGGAATATATGAGTCAGTAAATTTACAATGCCTGATTTTAAGCAGGGATTATTATATGGCCAAATAGAGCAAAATAATACAAGATATACTGGTAACCTTGGCTACATAAATATCCTTGAATGAATTTATAAATGGATATGGCTTGTAGTCAAGAACAGCGAAAGATTCCAAATTGTGGGTAACTACATGTAACATCACAATAGCCAGGTTATCATAAAAGTATATGTTTGCAGGAAACAAAGTATTGTGAATAGGCTAGTTGTGAAACAACATGTAAATTAGGGGATTAATATTTATAAGAACTCTAAATAAATGAATGTCAACAAGCTGTCAAAGGCACTTAATTTTTTTATATTGGCAACCAGACACTCTTTTGACATGTTTTCATGATATGCACTTATTATCTCTATATGAGTATTTTACGTGTTTCCGCTTTGCTGTTTCCTCATTTGTGAAAATGAATAGCCTAAAAAGATTGGGATGCATGCATGTGACATGTATTCATCATGGGCACAATCATCATTTGCACTTTGTACTACTGTATATGAATAATCAACCAAGTACCTGTACATCTGCATTTTGAAATATGAGAAAAGCACAATTCATTGAAATCCCCTATTGAGGATCCTACGTGTAAGTGTTCTAGGCAACATTCTAAGAAATACTTGACAATAGAAGTACATACATGTACACCTGTAGTGTGGAGTTCTTTACAAGCCTGCACTGAATTAACAACAAAATATATTGTGGCAGACTTTGTAAAGGAATGTGTATTGTAATTGCTGTCAAGTGTCAACTCAGATTACACTTCTGTTGTACTGCATTGAAATATTAAACATGAACTACATGTACATTTAGTCTGTTTTTCTTGTCATCATTAGCTACTCGTGCAGTCACGCCAAGAAAATCTAATTACCTGCTAACTAGATTATAAACACACATGTAGACTGATGATGGAAACTGAGTTAATAAAGATTAATTAACACAATCAACAGACACCCCAAGTTGATCTGGCACATAATTGATGTAGAAAATATATAGTTCTACTATTAGTTCTACTGTTACATGCACATGTATGTTCTTGATCCATTTATGTAGCAACTATACTTTAAAAAATCAAATTGAGTGTCTTATTCTTTAAGCATTTTCAATTTCAATTTATATGAGATAGTTTGTACATTAAAAAGAAAGTGCCTTCATGGCACTATCTTTTGAAAATGCCAAATTGAAAACTTGAACTACAACACAATTATTAGAAATGAGGAAAAGTTGGAGATAAAGAGGAGAGAAGTGAAGAGAATGGCCCTTCTGTACAGTACACATGTAGATGTATTGTACACTGTAGATACATTTAATATGTTAAATTCACAGTTTTCAGACAGGTTTGAGATGACTCAGATGAGTCATCATCATAAATACCTGGGTTACACACTGTTTGGTTACATGGTTCTGTACCTCCCCCCCAAATATATTTTAAAAAAGAAAGAAAAGGAATGCCTTGTTACTGTTAGAGAGAATGATGGATGGACATTACATTTTGCAGAGACTGTTAGGCACCAAGACTGACAAGGGTTTTTATCCGCAAACAACATTTTTCATAACATCTGTTTGGAGCAAAAAGGGTATTAACTCTGTTAAATGACAACAGCTAGTATGTTACAATAAATGCTCAGTGTTTACTGCATTTTAAAAATGAACCTCAAGTGTTTTAAACACATCTGATGACACCAATTTCCATGAATGTAAATGTACATTAGAATTGTGCATATACATGTAGGCCTTACAGATTTTTTCTGAGAATCCTGGAGAGGGATTAACCTGGATAACTCAAGTTCATGTATTTAAAAAAAATGTGTTTCAAGTCGAGGAAATCCTGTTTGTCTTGGATTCTCTGTATCTACTGGTAGTGGTAGTACAAGTTAGTACACTGTACTAGTAGTAAGGTGGTTTCCCTGTTACATGTAAGTTGCAGTTATGTTTTTGTACTACTAGAATGGACGCACCCACAAACTTTACTCCAGTTGCTAAAAGTAGATGGTTCTGAAGAAAAATTCTCATTGTTCACCTCGCAGAAGGGCTTGAATACTAAGTTTACAATTTTTTTTCTTGTTTGCTTCTTTATGCTCTCATTTTGTTGGCATTTTCATGACAGTTGGAAATGTCTGTGTTCTGTGTATTGCATTCAATGAATTAGTATTGATTCCACATTAATATTTAGTTATTTACCTTATATGCTATGTGATTATGATCCTTTATGTTTTGCACAGTGTTGTAAACTTTCAAAATATGAGAACCAAGCACTTTATTTTTAAAGTATTTAAATTTTTATTGCTTCTCATTTCAACAAAGAAAAAACAGAAGTACATTCATATGCATTTTAAATAAATAACTTCCATATAATACCAAAAAAAAAAAAAAAGAAAACAAAATCAGAATCATAAAGGTGAACAAAAATGAATGAAGACAAAAAAAAAAAATTACCAAGCACTTTTGATATTCGTTACCAGTAATTGTATTCATGCAGAAAGGAACTCATTAATATTTATGGTGATTGTCATTAAAAAAATAATTATACTGTAGCTGTAGGCCTGTAATAATGAAGTAACAATACATCCCATGACTTTGGATGCTAAAGGCCTGCAGAGCTACAGTGTACAGTCACTGCTTGCAATGAGGTAGAAGATTGATGCTTGACTGTCTTTGAAAATGCGCATATATTTGTAATGAATGTGTGTTTAGTGAGGTACCCCCCATCTTTCATTCATTTTCTTCTCACTTTTTTTCCTCATCTGCAGCATGGAAGGAGGAGAGCTCTTCAGCAGAATACAAGAAAGATCATCCTTCACAGAAAGAGGTCAGTAAAGAGAGAGGGGGAGGGAGGGAGGGGGGGGGGGGGGAGGGAGTCTGTCTTCCAACTTGTGGAGGAATTGGGCCTTGTACACAAACCACCTAAAAACTAACTCTCGCCGGCAAAATAAAATGACAAGAGCATAGTGCCCTTCTCACTCCCATTTCTTATTACAAATACGATGAAAGTGAGCATGCCTAGTAGAGCCCTTTGTATACTACTTGCTGTGCTTGCTTGATATGTATTTAAGCGTAAAATAGTCTTTTTATTTTGTTGCGGCAGCTTTTGCATCATATGCGAACGAGCTGTAATGGGTGAAGGGCGCAAAGTAGTGCATGACACACTTGCCTGGCAAAAGAGCGTACGGAAGTAGGGGCATTCCTCATCGATTCAATTCTTTGTAATGTAGTTCATTTGAAATTTCCCCGCTAATATCCTAGGCCCATGTTGACATACCCTGTGCAATTTATTTCGCTCATGACACGTGGGGGAAAAATATCATGTGACAATTTTGAATCAACAGGGGTTGATACTGAAATGAGTTTTCAGAAAGAACTGTCTTTAATAATTGAACTTTACCTGAGTGTCGTTTATATCGTTTCAATATACAGTGCCTTCTTTCAACCAAAAAATAAAATTGCTTCACTTAGTTTTAAAGTTACTTTTTATATTGAAAATGAAATTATTTTTAAATGGTCTAAAGAACTTTGTGGAAGTAGAAGGTATTTATCAAAATGAAACATAACAAGCAATTTTCCTTCAAGTAAATCAGTCATTGGATATGTGATGTCTTATTTTTCACTGTTTCACAAAAGAAAACACCCAAAAGCGTTTAAATGGAGAGCGAGATAAATCGCAAAAGTCATATTGAGTTCATGTTTATATGGATGCCTGTACATCCAAGAGATACCTAGATGACCTTTTCAGTTCATCTGTATTGAATCATGACATTTCAGCTGGAATAATACCTGATCATATATTCTTGGTACTATGGGAGACGAGCTGAAAGTATATTGCCCACAGCAATTTGAAAATACTTAACTTTTGAAGTTACAGATTTATTCATGGTATGGGGACAACCTGAAAAAGAATAAACCCTGTATAAAATGATTTGTGTGTGATCTATCAAAATGATTAGGCTTACAGGTATGTAAGAAATACATTTCCATATCAATAGCAGTGTTGGAGAACACAACATGGCATTTAGCTTTTCCTTTTTCTTGATTTTTTTCCTTGTGGAAACTATTCGCGCTCTCTCTTTCTTTCTCTTTCTCTCTCTCTCTCTCTCTCTCTCTCTTTCTCTTTATCTCTCTTTCTCTCTCTCTCTCTCTTTCTGTCTTGCTCTCTGTGTGTGTGTCTCTCTCTCTTTTCTTCTTATCCTCTTTTCCTCCCTTTCTCTCCCCTGTGTGTCCCTTATCTCCTAGTTTTCTTCTGGCTACAAAATGAGTGCTTTCCACTTTACTAAAATCCTATAACGGCTAAGAGATTCACAAACATTTTGTAGAAGTCCATAATTCATGATTGTACTCTACATGTATCTCCACGTCATATCTAGATGACATTTCAAGGTAACATTGTGGCAATGGACAATGATGCAGAGCTCCTATCATTCCATACATGCAGACCTTAGCCTATATATACTTTGATTGCACTCGGTGATGTGTATTATCGCATCTTTCCTTTGTCCGTAAACCAATATGGAGGATTCGTCATGTGCTCAGCGTATGATTTGAGAGCATGCCCTAATTCAGGAGTGAAATCATGTGAAGCAATTGTAAAGCAATTTCAGGTTTATTGAAGGGAAGTGGCTTTGATAAATACGGGCATCTGGTGCACATAGACGCCAAGGATTTCCCTCCACATAACCACGTATCTAGACATGAACGTGGCCTGAAAAGGTTCAGGCTCGCACAAATGCTGTAGAACTCCCTACATTTCATTCCAAATCCCCTATAAAAAGAAAAGAAAAATATTATTAATATGACTGACAGAACAACAGAATGTCTTACTTTAAAGATACTCTGTCCCTTTTGCAGCCAACATCAAATTCTGTAGAACTTTGCAGGAATTATGAATATGTCATGTACATGTATGTCCTATCTGTGAAATTTAAAAGCAGTGTCCTAATATCCAAATTATGCAAGGAAACCTGTTTACCTGCTAGACTTCACTGTCAGACACTATTGATTGACTGACTGGCCCTTTTCTTCTTTGGTAATAACATACATAAAATGAGCTGTAAAGGGTACATGAGCATTTTGTCTACATCAATAACCCACTTCTTGTAATGGCCAAAATTGTACTGATTGAATCTTTGCGCAGCATAAAACGTACGACCGTTCGGTACAATGGTCTGAAAATCAGACTATTACTTACTGGCTCTGAAGTCGATTTGACAACTAATAGTCGTTATTTTCCCACTTAAAGACATTTTCAAGCCCCCCTTTTTTTAGGGAAATTCTAAATTAGTATAATCTTTCAAATGCCGTTGGAATTTAACCTTTTCATTTTTTGGGCCTGCAAATCGGACATAGTACCTTTAAGCCATGTTCTATACCTAATAATTACCAGCTAGCTGTCTTAGGGACGTCGTGCTTCAAACATTTTTTGAAAATGCACTGTTCCTACTACCCTTTTTTGTATGTTTTCTATCTTGATGCAACCAACTGAATTTTATTATATGTAAACAATTATTTTACATGGTGAATCAAAACAAACAAACAAACGATAAAAGCCATTTTGTTATGCTATTTACATGATTTAGATCAACCCCACAATGAGTGAATATGGCCCTGGTTTTCTATCAGCACACTTTGTACTTTTGCAAGGTCGCTTTGTCCAAACATGGGCAAATGTGAAATCCATGCCAACTGTAACCATAGGCAAAAGTTGAGCAATACAAAAACAAAAATAAAACCCCAGAGTCTGACAGGGGAATCCCATGACATCATAAGGGGATTTTCCAAAGGGATGGCTTACTTTCACCTCCCTTACAAGATTTTTGCATCTCAAATTGCATTCTGGTAGCCTTGTTTCCAGGAAGGATAGATTTTAACAATTTACTTCACTCTCACTGGTTAAGATCCCTTTTTGTTGTGTGTGTGTGGGGGGGGGGGGGGGGGGGTGGATAGTGAATGTGGAATATTTGTTAATGCTCCAGACTCAAATAATCACAATTTATTAAAAAAAAATCAAGAGGGAGAAAGCATTTTCATTTGAACTGGAAGTCAGACTAGTCTACTCAAGGGAAATCACCCGAAATGTACCCCAAGTATGTTGAAGTACATGTCCTACCAGCATAGAACCTATCATATTACATCAGATTTAGGCAGGAAACAGGATTTGTCAATGCTACTATCAATCATGGGCAATGAATGCCTCACATTGCAAGAGTACCAGCAAATGGCCATTTTCGTAATATGACGTAATTCAATGCATAAATCTTTGTTAAGCGCCTCGTTACAAATTATTTTATTCGCCTGTAACAAGTAATTGTACTTCAATAGTCAGAATGCAAATTGCAGACATGTGCATTACATGTTGTTAGGTAGGGAAAGTCATAATATTTATCCCACCTAGCAACAACTAACTGTATGCAATTTTCACTCTGACTTTTGAAATACATGAATTAGTGAATGAAATAATTTGTAATGAAGCACTAAACAAAGACTCGGTGTGCATTAAATTTGATTTCCATACAAAAATGGCTCATTTGTCAAAGATCAATTTAATTCAAGATTGGGAGTGGAGTCCCTGGAGTGCAGATACAGATTACATTTATCTAGATAGATGGAGACGCAATATTTTTGAAATATATTTTTGAGGACATAGATACAGAAGTATTAATTGATATCAATATGTCCTCTTTTTGGCTGTTATTAATGATTTAATGGATATATTTGGAAGGATAATGGAATTGTAAATTAACAAATCTAATTCAAAATCAATAGTCTATGAACATGGAGTTAAAATATTACAATGCACATACATGTACAGTATGCAAGTACCGGTACTTATGAAGATTATTTTTCACAATTACTGGATTTTTGGTAAATTTGATGATAACAAGCATTATACTTTAGATATATTCCCTTCAGATAAAATCATGTAGGCAAAGATTGTATATACATGTACAAAGAGCCCTGTATGCATACCATAGAAATAGTACATCTAATTGTATTATGTAGGAGACCATTGTAGCATTCACACATTTTAATATTCATTTAAAAAAGGTATTTTACCCATGCCATAGGCCTTGGCACTACTAAGTATTCCATTTAGTCTGCAAGAGAGCATGAATAGGGATGAACAAAAAAAATTGAAGGACGGAGGAGTGAAAATGCCTCTAGCATACCGAAGTGCAAGGTCTGCGGTCTTTAGTGCAAGGCAAGTTCACCGAGCTAATACAGATGACATTCATCATGTCAGCTTCCTTTATACAAACTCGCTTTCCAATTTTTGAAGCATTTACATCAATTACCTCACTTACCGTTAATGATCATTACTGTATTGCTAAATTAATTTGAGTGATTGTAGATCATAATGCTATAGGGGAGGCATGTGCTCTGTATCTAAAGTAAAATTAAGAGGAATATGACCCGTAAAATTTGCTTGCATGCACATCAAGTCTTCAGGATGGATTTAGGCAATGTGAAAGTTATGGGTATATTCCAGTCACCACCTCTCTCATTTCATTAGGGGCATAGTCAGTCTTAAAACATACACACCACTTCAAGACATGAAAAGAGACTCGGAATGAAACAGGGGTTTAAAAAAATGAAATTCTGAAGGGTAACATACTAACATACATTAAATTACATTATTCTGAATATGGCCTACAGTGAAGTTTGCATGTAACACCCCATCATTGTACATTTATGTTATCGTAATTGAATAATCTTACATTAGGCTTAACCTAACCTACTTACAAAATGTAATGGTAAATATGATATAAAGTCATTCCAGACTTTTCTTTATTGATTTTTTTTCTTCATTTTCAACACTGGAACTTCAAATTATCCATAAAACAGGACATCTGTATATATTTCATCCAGTCTATTTGTTGACAACATACTTGTTCATATACACGTAGCAGTGATACCAAACCTCCCTAATTTTCAGGGAGACTCCCTGAATTTGTTTTAATTTGTACGTCACTCAGCACAAATTGTAATGCCTCCCTGACTTTTTGAAAGATTATTCCTATAATGCTGTATGCAATTTTTAAAAACCTCCCTGATTTCTGAATGAATGATATGAATCCTCCCTGGCCTGAAAGCTGAATGTAAAGGTTGGCATATATCTGATGTAGGCCTACTTGTATAGTACATGTATGTTGGTCAGGTTCCAAACGTGCTAATGGAGCGTGGCAGTCACTCAAGGTGTTTATATAACCTTTTCTAATTCGATCAAAGGTTGAAGTATACAACCATGTTCTGAACAGTGCACTACGAGTGATACGCCCTAGTTTCAGTTCCATTTCTTTGTCTTTGTCTTTCTTTCTTTTCTCTCTCTCTCTCTCTCTCTCTCTCTCTCTCTCTTCTCTCTCTAGCTTAGATAAGGTCATGTGCACTTTGAACAGTATCAAGTGATTTTAGACTATGAATTTTAGTACTGGTACTCAAATAGAATTAGATTAAAACTGTCCAAGAACATATATTATAATACAAATTTCTAATTCATTTTTAAAAAGTAGAAAAATTAAGCCTGATTTTGTAATTTTTAATTTGAGATGAAATTTTCTGTTCTACAGGATGAAATGTTTTTTTATTGTTGTATTGATGTTGGTAGATTTGTAAAAAGGACTCCTTGCCGGGATGCAGTGATTTTTTTTTAATTTGAATTTTTTTTTTGTTGCTTTTGTATTTCTGTTTCTGATTGTGTAATTTATAGGGCTTGACATAAGAATATTTAATACCCAAACATATGAATATCTCCTCTGAAATATTTATCATGTAATTTTTCTTTCTTTGCATTACAGAAGCAGCAGAGATAGTACGTAGCATAGGTCAAGCCGTCCACCATCTTCACGTAATGAACATCGCTCACCGTGACCTCAAGCCCGAAAACTTGCTCTATCGTGACAGGACGCCAAACTCACTTCTCAAGCTCACAGACTTCGGCTTTGCCAAGGAAACGACAACAACAAATCTTCAGACGCCCTGCTATACACCTTACTATGTTGGTAAGTTTGTCTACCCATGGATTCCTAGTGGATGAGAATAAGGGTTTGATTTGTAACCATGTTCCTCTTGTTTTGTGTTTTGAATTAATTCTATGCAGGAATTAATTCCTTGAAATGCAAGAGCACCGCAACGGCAGCCTTGCTAAAGCCAGGGTAATAATCGGGAGCGCCAGGAGTGTCAAATCTGACAGACATGAGCGCTGTACAAGAACCCACTATTATTATTACCGGTATTATTATTATTATGCTAAAAAGGGTGATGCCATATATCATGCTTTATCATTCCAATGTGCATATTTAACTGTTGCCATTTACACAATGGAATTGCATTCAAATTCTGATAGATTTTAGAGAGCAAATTTTTAGCTTCATATGTTGTAAACTTGACAATGATTATGACATTCTTATATACCGGTAGTGCCTTTATCCACATCTGCTGGGCTCTCATGGTTTTTATTTGATGTAAAATGTCTCACAAAATTCTGTGTTGTCAGCCAGTTTGTTAATTAAAAAAGATTAAAAAGTAAATTTGTCACGATTGTCTTTGTTGGCGCTATTGTTCTTGTAATGTTGCTGTTTTAGCAGGGAAAAGGTAGGTTGTGAGAGTTGACTTCAAGGTTGATAGGGTCTCAGCACTCGTAAAGATGTATGACAAACGTGACTGATTAAGAAGAATCACTACTAATGTTTCACCATGTGACAAGACATGAATGTTTCAGAAGCCGACATTACAATTATTATCACTGTTGAGAAAGCGCGGTGGCTCAGTGGTAGAGCAGTGGTCTCGTAACCAGGAAGTTATGGGTTTGAAACTAAGTCAATGCGCTCGTTCCCTTTGATAGAGGACTCAAAGCCGTTGGTCCCCTGGTTGTTTACTTATAGCAATCGGTAAAACGATCATTATCAAACATTAAACCATTATCATTATTATTCCTATTCCTGTTCTCATGTACAGCTCCAGAGGTACTAGGACCAGAGAAGTACGACAAGTCATGTGACATGTGGTCATTAGGGGTCATCATGTACATCCTGTAAGTACCACTTTTAGTTGTTTTTTTTTGCGGGGGGGGGGGGGGTATGGAGAGAATAACAATTATTTTAAAATGTGATATTGAACTCAATTCAGTCTGAGGAGTCTTAAATTTTTTTAGGCAATTATGCTTAGAATGTCTATTTAGTCATGTATAATCTCTTTATTTAGTTGTCAATGATCTGGTATTGTGCTTTACTTGAAATGAAGGGATAGTGGTGTAGATGTTGTGAGCTGTACCATAACAATATGGAGTAGCTATATTATCACTTCCCATGTGCATGTTCAAGTAATACTGTTGGTTATAACTGTCAATGAAATCCTATTATCTTTTGTTTAATTCTTTTTAAATCAAAGTTTTGGGGACTATGCTAGGGAGGTATAAAAACTTGTAAAAAACTTTGTATACATTCCTTCATCATATTTTGTATCGCCGCTGGTATTCCTTTTGAATTCCGATATATGGAAAAGCTTAGCAATAATGATTTTCCCTTACTGAAGAACTTGTCAGGTGACCGCAATGGAATACATTTTCTAAAGACCATATCTTTGAGGTAAACATTGTTTAGTTCCTCTATTTTAATTTTAATGTTACTGGATGGGTTATTCCTCTTCATGTTTTTCTCTTTTTTTTTCTTCTTCAAATACAGACTATGTGGGTTCCCGCCATTCTACAGCAACCACGGCATGGCCATATCACCGGGCATGAAGCGTAGAATACGCAACGGTCAGTACGAGTTCCCTGACCCCGAGTGGAGCCAGGTGTCGGAGGACGCTAAGAATCTGATCAAGAAGCTGCTCCGTACGGACCCGGCCGAGAGACTGTCCATTCAAGAGTTCATGAACAGCCCTTGGGTTAGGGTAAGTCATGTGACATATATATATATATATATATATATATATATATATATATATGCTCCGACGACAATTGCTCTAGTTTATTCCCCAACCAAATTTTTAATTTTCTAACTCTTAACCAACATTATACTTAACCGTAACCCCAACCAGTAAACCTAACCTAAACCCCAATGACAAAGCTGTTCCTAATCCTTTATGATTTTTTTCTTTTAAAGCCTGGAATGCATGTCAGATATAAACCAAGTCTAGCATTACAAACTGGAAGCTCAGAAAGTAGTTGTGTTTTGTTAATTTAAAATATTTAAAAAAAAGATTTGATGAATGTAGTAAAATTATAAACTGAACAGTTTATTTGAAAGTTAAAAAAAAGTGTTTTTCCTGCGATTGTATATTTGCCACTATGGAGTAAGTTTAAAAGTGTAATGGCCTTTTAAGCTTCCAATGCCTGATTGTCTATTAAGGGGTGAGATGCAGAAGGGTATAAGTATATTAAGGGGTGAGATGCAGAAGGGTATAAGTAAATGTGGATGAATGTGATTTACCATTAGTATCCATCTGCTACTCAGTATAGAACTACACAAGACATCACAGCATGCTCTTAAATCTTGATGCAGGTCAGACACAATGGGGGTGGGGTAGGGTGCTGTGGGGTGTGTGAATAAAGGTAGCGGGTTGGGGGGGGGGGAGTGCTAGTCGGGTCAATTGAGGATGAGTTAATGATATTTACAGATTGGAATGTTGACATGTACCGGCTGTAGACATATTGACAAGATGACTTTATAGGAGGTCTTGTAGATATATGCATACTGTTCATGTACATGTGCTGTAGTACTGTTCATGAAGTGAATATTTTACAGCAGGTGAAATTCCATCAAATCATTCTCTCTTTCTTTTAAAGGTAATACAAAATTTTGAGGAATGTTGAATAGTGATTCTTTACAATTTTGATATATTTGGATGCCCCTGTAGATGTTTTATAAGCACTAGAAAATTTAGCCCCTAAATCAAAAAGCGCCTACGGCCATACAATGGTAGCTGCGACCATGAATATCTCAGAATATGCAGTTGTGATATTTAATTTCTATACGGGAATAGCAAATCGGTCGATTTCAGCCAAAAACGTTGTTTTATAGCTTAACTAATATCTTGACCTTGAGAGGGAGCTATACAACTTACAGAGTTAATTATTTACAATTTCATCACTTAAGTCTCAAATTCAACCGCGACAACGATCAGTGAATATTGTAGGATCGCATATGCTTCCAATATATTCATTTGAACTAAATTCATGACCCCATACCAAAACTTTGTATAACCTTTAAGATAGAGAAAGAGGGAATTTAAAAAATGTTGACATTTTTTTCCCTCCATGGTTGTCCTCAACACATGAAATGACTATAGTATCCTAGGTGACAACCTACTATCATATTTCAACGCTAAATGCTATACAATAGAAGTATTGCCATATATTTTCCCCTTATTACTTTGCTTTCTAATTTACAACTTGCATAGATTGCAAATACAAATGTAGTATACAAATGGGATGAGTAACATTCATTTTATACTAGGTATTATTATTGTAAAGGAATGTGATTGTTTTGTATCTGTATATATATTTTTTTAGGTTTAGGGTTTCTTGTTTTTGAGACGGTCAATGTCATTATCAATGTTTTATTTTGCATGTATCGAATGAACACAGATAAAGACATTCAGGGCAGGTTCTTACGACATAAAGTCACACACATTAGGTGTTGATTTTATTACAGTTTGGCTTAAAACCAGGATGACGGTGTGATACTTTGTCAGAGACCTACTACATTCTTTTCAGTTGAACATTGCAAATCAAAATAACTTTAATACCCGGTACCATTTGAAGTCAGGAAATCACCATCTGTGAATATCTTTAAATAGAAACTGAAAGCACATCTTTTCAATTAACTGTAAATCTAAGCATATCAGGAGCTCTTGTAGCGCAGTAGAATATATACTCACTGTTGGATAGTTTCTGCACTCTATATGGTAGATGTATTATTATTATTAAATTATGAATGTTGTTATTATTACATGGCATTTAATTTGCGTGAACATACCAGTGATTGTATTATATCTTGTTTCTATCTTTCAGCAATGTAGCGCTGTACCGGCTACTCCTCTCCATACCAGCAGTGTGATGAAGGAAGAAGGTGTCAATCAATGGGCAGACATCCAGGTAGGTCACCAACTATATTGTCTTTTTCATTGACCCTTGCAGAAGAATGGTCAAGTACAGTCAAACCTGTCTATAGCGACCACCCAAAGGAAACACAAAAAGTGGTCTTTGTTGACAGGTTCCTTTAGTACATGTTTCAATGAGAAACCATTTCAAGGGGAAACAAAAAATGTGGTCTTTGTAGACAGGTGATCACTGAAGGAGGTTTGACTGTACCTTGCAGAAGAATAGTCAAGTACTAATGAAGGGTTCCTACGTTCATGGAACAATAGATTCGTCCGGAAAGTCATGGACGCATGAGCGGGGCCGTGTGTGGTTGCGACATCCTTTCTGTTTGAATTGACAGTGGGGTATGGTCTTTGTTTGTTTAATAGATGCCGCAACCCATACATGAAATTGATCATGGAAAGTCATGGAATTTGGTTCAAAAAATTTCTATGGGAACCCTGTAATGATTCTCTGTTCAGGTTTAGTGCCTTTCACATCAAGATATCATGTCCCTATCTGCTTCCACACAGCTTTGGACAACATTACCCCCAGTTTTAAGCCCTAGCAGCTTTAGCAAGCACCTACTAGCTGTATCTTACTATAGAGTGGCAAATACCGGTAATAGAGGTGTTTACTATCACCTGGCAGGAATTAATTCCTTGAAATGCTAGAGCGCTGCAATAGCAACTATGCTAAAGCTGGGGTAATAATTAATTTGTGCGCCTCAGAATAGAATTGTCTAGATAGAAGGCGCTATATAAATGCCTATTATTATTATTAAGGTGGTAGCAGCTGCATGATTATGGCAGGAAAGAATGACTAAAGACTGATTTGAAGCAACTACATGTATGATTTCTTTAGATGAAAATGGTATTGTTTAGAAAAGTGTCTGTTAGAGATAAGAATGTTTTTGAATATCTCCATAAGTATATTGTATATTTAGGTCTCATAATTTCTCTCTCCCTGCCTTTTTTTCTCCAACAGGATGAGATGACAAATGCCCTTGCAACGATGAGAGTAGACTATGATCAGATCAAAATCAAAGAAGTCAACGTGTCGACCAACCCACTCCTGGCAAAGAGACGCAAGAAGGAACTAGCGATGCAGGCTGAATAGACTCTACAGACAGCAAGAAGGAGCTATATATGCACGATAGGATGGGTGCAAGGAGGACCTCGTAATGGTCCGTCCGGTCAGGCAACGGGTCTTAAATCAACAGATTTCCCCAACACGACAGATATTTTTCACACTTTTATCCAAATTGACTCATCAAGAGAGAAATGTATCAGTATTGATAATGGTCTTTCTGTACAAGTACTCTTGTATAACTCTATTGGACTGTGGCCAAGAATGCATCTATAGAGTATTTTTCTGATACTTACATAGGGTTATCCATTTGGTACGTCATTGAGATGCCGCCGCTTATGGTAAATCCAATTTTGCGCATGCTCACGATATGCAGTGGAGAACTGCTCATGATCATGGTTGATTTGGACATCAAATACATCAATTCCATTTGTACAATTTATATATATATTCTCTATCATGAAGGCGTGCCGTGATGTTTGATGTCCAGTGATAGTGTATTGCCAAATTGAAGATGAAGAAGAAAAAAAACGAGATTCTCAAGGATATGGGATGGTGACATATTCCATGTAAAAATTAAAGAGTTTTTGTGGGTTTATTCTGAGAGTCTTTCTTGGGATAGTTGTCGATATCTTTTGTGATATTTTTGACAGTAAACTGAGTAGTTTGTCTGCTTTGTTTTATTTGATGGCAAATTAAGTGATTCTGTTGCAGTATTTTTCTCCTCCTACACTCTACAATTCCCTCGCTTCATATCCCTTACCATACCATCAGCTTTATAAAGTATATCCAAGAAAGACATTTTTAACTTCTTCAGGTTTCAGATCTATTCTTTTTATATCATGTTTTTAAACAAGACTGCAAACTTGAAGATTATTAAGGTGCACAAAAAAGTAAATGGATTTTTATCAAATGTCAATTGTGAATCATATGAATTTGCTTTTTTTATGAAGCAAGGGTTAACAACTTGAATGCCATTACTTTTCTTAGTCACAATAGTTGTCATGCAGAGTGTACAAGTGAGAAATCCAGCCAATACTGGTGACCTTTCAAAATATTTTTAAACTGACTTGCTGAAATCGATGCTAGCAGCTTTTGAGTGGATGATTTGGAATTGGCATATATATATATATATATATATATATATATATATATTGAATTTTAGATAAATGTTATTAAAAAGAGGTAAAAATGATGAGAACTATAATAATATATACCTTCCTCTTTTAGACTTAATCTCTGAATTGAAGCTTTTGAATCACTTTGAATCTTACTTGTTCTTAAAAATATCACAAACATGCACCATTTCTTTCAGTTCAGGAAGAAAAAGAGAAAATGTACTTCTACTAAGATGCCGATAGCCAACTGCTATTTCTCTTTAATATATCAAATGGACTGAGCTTGTATCGATTTTGCAAATGTAAGGCAAATTTCTGTTTCATATCGTAATCTTGATACCGGTAACTCTTTCAGTCCCAGATGTAAATGTCAGAGGAGAGTCAGGCATGAAGATAAAATATCCACAGGATGAAACATTTTGGCAAGCGTATTATTTTACTGTCGTCTTATACATGTTCCATTATCGTAAAGTTACATTTTTTGCATTGTTTCAAAAGTGTGTGAAATCGATTGAAATTTGACTGCTTTGTTTTGAAGGACATTGATAGGTTTAGCATGTAGGCTTCCATTAAGATGAAATTAGGGGTCAAAGATGAACGTTTGTATATTTTAGATACTTCCCTAGCTGTGATGCTGCTACATGTTACAGTGACGATGATAGAGAATACATGTTGTAACCTTATTTTGTATGCTTATACTATTAGAATATGATTTTATGCAGAGTATATCAGGAGAGAAACTAGGAAATCATTGTAAATTTAAAGACACCTGTAATCTTGTTCCAGACATACCGGTAATTCAGTGTACATTCTGTCAATTTGTATCAAATTTGATACTTTTACTGTACTATAGCTAAGAAATTATTATTTTGACAATTTTAAACATGTATGCTGGTTTTAAACAATGATCATTCAGACTGTTGATTTTTAGGTCTTTAGATCTCCAATAACTTTTCTTATTCTGTTTTACTTCATGTTCTATTTTCCGCTTGTTATTTGTGCCTTCAAGTTCAGAAATTGAAATAACTACCCTTCAATTACAAGTGTCAGTAATTTTGACACGATCCGACCCCGTTCACCTCACGTTCATCCATGTGGAACTTCCTTGTTGCGTCTCTCATTTCCCAATCAGTGCCATTATAATTCAAACGCGATTGATGATCTGCTGTGTTATTTAGCAATAGATTATCTGGGTTACTCATACTCTTAAATTTCTGAACATGGATTTGAGGATATTTGCGATCTCAGGTGCTGAAATTTAAATGTTTGTACATTTCTGTAATATTAGTGTCTGATCATAGCAATAGTCTCTGTGGGTTTATTGTACATACCAAGTCTCATTTGAAAGTTTTTACATGTATCTTTGTGTGGAGAAGTCACAAGCTTGATGTGAAATATGTTTGGGATGACTCATATCAGTTTCCTTGTCCATTTTTTGACAAAAATCTTGGGAAAATGTTATAAGGATATTCTCAAGAGGAGTCCACATCAATTTTATTCAGTTTCTCATGTCCATTTTTTTAACCAAAAAAATTGTGAAAAAATGTTTTGCCAAAAGGATATTCTCACAGGGAGTCCATATCAAATTTTAAATTCTACTTAATTTCTTAGTATACTCCTTCAGATGAAAAATTTGGATTATTAAGGATCTTTATATTACGATTTTTCACGACATCGCATGCCCTAACACGTTGCTAGGGATTACGGGAATATTTTTACTCTTTTTATTGGGCCTTCTCGGTGAGAACGTAATTTTATATACATATTGTACAATCAAATAATAATGATCTCTGATCATGACCTCAATCATACACATTATGAAATCATGTTTATATCTCAGATAAAAGTTTATCACAAAATCATGAATTTTAATTTTTAAACTTACTGGCCCAAATTCACAAAGGAGGTTTAAATCTTAATTTACATAACCCATGGTCGAAAATAAGCGTCACACAGTCAGAGGTCAAATATTAGACATGCAAGGAAAGGTACGCTAATTTTGCGCTAATATTTAAACCATGGGTTATTAAAGTTAAACCTTCTTTGTGAATGTGAACCAATGTCTCCAGACAAGTTAAGTAAGCCTGTAATGATAATAATGGAAGGTAATATTCAGAGTTATGATTCATACCAGTATTTTATATGGTAAATATATAATTGTCATAAGAACAGAGATGTATGCAGACCATATTGGTTTGATGTCATATAAATGTACATTAGGTAAATAAATAAAAAAAAGTATAAAACTACTCATCCTGTGTACTTGTTTTCTATCTAGTTAGATTTGTTTAAGTACTCTTGTAATTTCGTTTTCTATTAGATTGCCTGTAGTAGACTAATGCATGTACCATGGTCTGAATTACAGTCAAACCTGTCTATAGCGACCGCTCAAGGGAAACACAAAAAGTGGTCTATGTAGACAGGTTCCTTCAGTACATGTTTCAATGCGAAACCATTTTCAAGGGAAACAAAAAAATGTGGTCTTTGTAGACAGGTGGTCACTAAAGCACGTTTGACTGTACTATGTTTGGTACATGCCTTATTGCTAGCTCTCGAATGGGAAGAAGACAACTATTGAATGACCAGATGTATTTCTGTACTAAAAAAACAAACGAGGAAAACTCACTTTACCGGGTTTTGCCAAAACTCTAACTGCTCATGCATGCAAATCTCATCCCCCTTCCCAAGTGAAATAAAAGCTTGAGAGAAAGAGAAGAATAGGTACCGGTTGCGATTGCCGAGGGCTAAAGTGACTGCTTATGTTTGCCATTGCCCGACATGTATTTATGCATGCATGTGAACAGTGCAAAATGGTAGGAGTACTCCTCAAGGAGTGGAGATGGTGCTCACTTGTGTGCAGCCTTGAAATCCAGATACCAGGGGTGATGCTCATTATCATTATTCTGATCTAAAGGAATCTCTATTAATTCTGTACCCCTTTTTTGTCCAGAGAACAGAGATGTGCAGAAAAATGTTGCAATCAACCTCTGAGCTGGGAGAAGATCCCTTAATAGATAGATAGATACCCAGAGATACCCAGTCAACCCCCCCCCCCCTCCATTTTTTTAATCCCCTTTCTGTTACCTTCTATTTGGAGTCACCTGCCCAACCCTTGACCAAAGTAAGACAGAGCTTTGCATATTAATACCGTAAACAACTGGCACAAGACTAGCAATCCTATTTCACTCGTATGCTAGCTTTCCATGTTGGTCGTTGAGATACAAGTTCTTTTCTTAAGGCTACCCCCCCCCCTTTCTCTTTTTAAATAACTGAGTTCATGCTGTTGAACCTAAACCGAAAGCAACAAGTTTTCCTTGTTACCATCTTCTTTTTTCTAGCCATGTAAAAAAAAACATAACCTTCCGTTTGCAACAAACGGAAGTGAAATTTACAAGGGAATTCTGACTTATCCCCGAGTCCTGAAAAATGTCATTCCATTAAAGATTTGATCCACTATCGCTACATTTTGCGATTTTTCACATTTCTTGCTACATAAACAGTGGTTATGAACTGTTCCATAAACAGACAGTGCAATTATCTCACTGAGAACACAAAAATCGTTTTGAATATGTATCGGTCATTGAAGCACTCGCGTTGCCAAGCTCACTCTATCACCCAAAATCCCCCCTCTCATATCTCTTTTGTTTGTAAAGTTGTGTGTGGTGAAAGTGTCTGGTTAATAAGGTAATTCCCTACTTAATGTGACTGGCTATGAATGAAACCAAAAAAAGGATTATGATTATCATTGTTGACTATAGACATGCAACAATATTTATTGCAAATCAAATCAATATAAAAACTGAATCAGCCTTCTACACAAATGCATATTCACACTAATCCCATCTTTCTTTACTCTAAGAAAAGAGGTAATACTGAGATACTTCTACTTTTTATCCATTGGAGAGAAAAAAATCCTAGCAAAACTATAAAGCACTTTCATCCCAACTGTTCATTTCATATGGCACAAAACGAGTTCATTTCGATGTAATATAATGGTCTTACATGTATAGATTACTTTTTAGTCTTGGAAAATTACACATATTTTAAAATGTACATAAAAGGATAAATGAAACATTAAAAATCAAATTGTATTTTGAGTGTGTCTTAACAAATCAATTGGACATGCAATCCTGGTACATTAAATTTACCCACAAACCACTGACAGACATTGTTTTACTAAGTTTAGTTCATGACTTTTAATGCCCCTCAATCTTGCCTATCCAATATATCAAGAAGAGACAATTGAAAGAAATTAAAGCGAGACAGAGAGAGAGAGAGAGAGAGAGAGAGAGAGAGAGAGAGAGAGAGAGAGAAGGAGAGAGAGAGAAGAGAGGAGGGACATAGAGAGAAGAAAAATAAGAGCTTGATCTATTAAGACTCTTTAAAATGAAGAAAATTGAATGGAGGCATCAACAATTTGGGGGACCATAATGGCATACATAACTAACAAACAAAAACAATAAAAAACAAGCGAGGACACAGTGAAGCTTCTCATCTTGTACTCATCAGAGTAGAACACAATCAGATAACAACAAGTCATTGACAGTCCAATAAATATTTAAACATTTCCTTGATCAATCACCTATCATTTACACCTTAGAGCTCATTAACCCTACATTAAACAAATCTACAGCGAGCTTCAAATTACAAGGAACTGGAAAACCATCTTGAGGATTCCATTACCGTGATTGAGCTTAAATTTACTACTTCTTTTTTAATTTAATTACTGATTTTTTTTCTTCAATTGCAGATAACTTCAATAAATTGAAAACGTAATTTAAATATTGTATGCACAACAATTCTATCCATGGAGCTAATACCATTTGAGGCACTAAATCATGTATGCAACTAAAAATATCACAGCCCTAGTTCTTGAAAGTAGAACCTGTTATTAATAACAAGATGCAATGATAGTAAAGAGCTACTGAAATTCTGACTTTTGATTGCCTATGAGCAGGTTACTTATAGGTCTGTGGCAGCTGTTATTCATAAATAGTTGCATGAAACTGGACCCTGGAACACATTAAAAGAAAATACACTGCGGAACTAAAATATAATATATTCTGTTTCATAAATCATAATCTGATCTGATATCAAACCTGTACAAAAAATAAATACATCTCAATTTGTTCACCTACAGCATAAGTACAAATGCTTAAAACGGAATACACACCAGCTCCTATAAGGCTGAAAGAATTTTATAACAATAATAAACAATTTGGAAATTAGCCCTTCAATAAATTATGCGTCACATGCAATTTGATTCAATATTGTAATGCTTAAAAGTTAGAATTAAATTATTATTTTCATTGATTTATTAATACATGGGGATAAGATCATGAGAGATGTTCATTATATGGTTTCTATCATGATTTTCCCTTCAATTACCTAAATTATATCTGCTAGTAACTTGGCTAGTAACTATGCTAGCATCAGTTTGATTCATCCTTAAACGGTATTCATAACATCTCTTCTTTGCACACATGTGCCGCTGACAATTCTCCCAGACAGATCAACTCCTGTTGTCTGTCACTGTACAACGCCCAGACTGGAATGGAATTTATGAATCTTGGACCTCTCTGCATTCTCTTCCGAAGAGAATCCTGCTAAAAGGCATTGCATCTCTTGACAGGCACAACGTTCTTTCCGCCCTCGTCTCAAAACGATCGTTTAAGGTTTGTGTCACACACAGTGTATTTGTCACATCATGCATTACTGGACAACAGCCTTCTTGCACATTGCCAGTAAATGATTCCTCCATGGGAAGTTATATTTCGTCAAGTTTGGAAGGTTCATCCACACGATTTCATTTCAGGAACATGATGTATACAGCCATGAACACACATGATAACGCGGTGAACAGATGAAGGCGAGTTCCAATGATAGAAGCTGAAATAAAACAACATTGTAAAATAATAAATGCTAGTATCTTGCAAATCCTGCATTTTCCACACAAAATTGATGATAAGACAAATACATGGAGAAAACCTCTATCAATTTCACTATGAAAATATCTGCTATGAATACTGACAGTTAAAGGGAATTCAGTCATCATAGAAAGTTGGCCTGGATGAAAACAGACAAATTAGTAAAAAGGATTTATACTTGGAAATTTCCAGCAAAAAATTAATAAGAAGGAATAAGATATTCAAAAAATTTCAAATTTTACAAGTAATTCTTATGATGAAAATTTGTAATTGGTAATACAAGAAACATAATAATAATTTACCATTAAAAGTGTCTGTTCTCTCATCAAAAATGTAAAAGGTATAAGATTTTTACAAATTTAAGAATTTGCCCTGTATGATATCACAAACTGTAACTCCATCACCAATAGGAGATCCCCATATCTTTAGTGATCGCAACTTCAAAACTACTTTCCTCCTTATTCTGATTTCTCATATTTTCATAAATCCTTTCACCCCCTTTTCATTAATTCATCCCTGAAATGCAATAACGGGAGGCATACACCTAATGATTTTATTCATCATCTACTAAGTTTCTGGAATTTCCCCTTTTGATTCTGTTCTTTAGGGTGACATTATTTATCATAAAAGAACATGCATTTCCTTTCGCTAAGCTTTATTCCCCTAGAATCATAAAGGCCTAATTTTATCACTATTTGACCTTCACGATCAGGATTTGCCTCTGGCTCATTGAGTACCTAAGATGTATCAAGTACAGACTGCTTTATCTTTGAAAATTGCATATTTTTTAGTACTTCCAACAATTCCATCACTAATTTTCATACCTTTGTAGAAGACTCCGAAGAAACCTTTCTTTTCTGATAGGAACCATTGCTTGAGACGAGGAACTCTTCTCATGTAGGCACACGTACAGACTACAAGAAGCCCGAATACAACCAGACCATCAAAAGAGTATGCTGGAGAAGAAGAGTAAATATAAAAAGAAAATTGACGGAATAGCATCTCATCCATCATTAAATTTCACAGGAAATATTTCATCAAACTTTAACTCCTTGATTGATATTGATGCATATTGTTAAAGTTAGCATACAAAGCCTGTTCAGTTAGAAGGCATCTAACGAAGTATTTGTGAAGCCTTGAGCAAGGTTTAGCACATTCAAATCTGGTATAAATGTTAAACCCTCTTCCATTGTTCCACTGGCACTTTCATAAGAAGCAAAAACAATCATAATGATATTTTAAATCCAATTCATGGCATGTTACCATTACTGGTAGGATATCGTATACGTAGAATACAAAACATTAATGGAATTACAACTTAATAGAGAGAATAAAACAAAATTTGAGATAATAATAGCGATTAGGGTAAAAAGGTATGTGCCCAGGGAGTTTGCTAAATTCAGCAAACTCCATGTGTGCGCCTTAGTACATTCAGTATCAAATTTGCAACACTTAACAGCTATTTTGGTGTACACTGCGTGCATTTGCATCTCTGGCAAAACCAACATTGCAAACTCTTGTGAAAGGTCAGCAGTTTTGTAATGTAAATTGTATGTTAGCTCATTATCATCAGGAACACATGGAACCTCGCCCACTAGCAAACCCCAAAGAGAGTTTGCAAGGTTCATCTGGTGCAGAAAGGGATGATTAACTGATTACGCATTTTAGTTTTCTTTTACATCAATCTTCACACACGAAGAGTACGGCTGCCAATTAAGGCTAGGCAATATCAATATCATATTCTGACCTAGCCCCTAACTTAAGTCTAGGTAAAGGTAAAGACTAACATATGATGCATATTATGAAGTATGATGAATGAACAAATAATCTAACAAATAAACAAATAGATCTAGTCTAATTAACAAAAATCAAATCAAATGTAAAAAGTGTAGATGCACCTAAATAAGTAATAACTTGACCTAAGTTCCTAACTAAAGTCTAAAGTCAAAGTTAATGTATTTGAAAGTTTAAATATTTTTTTTGTGTACAAAACGAATTTATCAAAAATTATTTTTATGAACAAATTGCACGATGTACGCTTAACTAAGTTCTAGCTTCTCGCCTTCTGTTCATAACATTTTCACAATTTGCCCTCATCACTAGTTCAGCTCAAATCAAGCACTGTCCTTATTCATATCTATATTGTTAACATTCAGATTGCATTGCCATTAAAATATTTACGAGTTTTCATGACTTATCAAGCTTGAAAAAATCTTTAAGTAACAAACATCTTTGTGAACGATTGGGACTGAAGCAATGTAAATTGACAGTGTCGATATCATATCGGAGAAGTGACACACACATATATCTATAAGATGTACATGGACAAATCATTTTCAAATACTTACCGTTTGTCATCTTTGATTTATCACAATTCTCATGATGTAGAAAATCAACCCTCAGCTCTTTCTTTTTCGTTGGAAACTAAGGAAAAATATTGCCACCGTAGCACAAAATACGTGGCTAATATAATCGAAACCGGGAATTTGTTTCTGTGTTGTTGAAAACTCCCTCATGAGACTAGACTAGGCCAGGCGAAATGCCAGGCATGCAAGACCCCCCCCCCCCCCCAAAAAAAAAGAGTTAATATTCGGCTAGCATTAATTCATCTCATATACTAGAGCACCATTTTTGTTAAATGATATGCACGGGTGCCTACATATTTACTGCTGATAATTAAGTCTTCGTGATGAGACCCCCCATTAATTAACCAACATTTTAAATAAAAGTTATTTAATATAATAGTGTTTTGATTAATGGCGTGCAAAATTATTATAGATATTGATTGATAAACTGCAATACCATTATCTAATGATATCTATTATTTAAAAAAAAGAGATCCCCCCTCCCCACCCCAATATTATGTCCCGCCCCCCCCCCCCCCTCTCTCTCTCTCTCTCTCTCTAGCTCTCTCTCTCTCTCTCTCTCCCTCCCTCCCCCTCTCTATATATCAATCTCTCTTTTTTCCTCATCTCTTGTTTCTTTTCTCTCACTCTACCCCTTCCTATTTCTTTCAAAATAGCCTTTGCTTCGTTATTATCATTAACAAAATCTGAAATCTGAATACAACCTAATTGTATAATAAAGTACAGGAAAAGACCAGTTCGATTTTGCCTCCAAATAACTTGGAAATCACGGCATATCTTTTTCAGTTCTCATTTTTATTGTTCAGACATGATGTATACACTACACATGCATTATCCCTGGATACAAAATGACCATTCTTGTTAAGCCATGGCCATGCAGCTCACTTGAACTTGAACTTGAACTTGAACTTGAACTTGAATTTTATTGGAACACCTTTTCAGGGGCGGATCTAAGGGGCGGGGGGGGGTTCGGCGGTTTAACCCCCCCCCCCCCCCCTTGAGCGGCCAAGTGAAAATAAAAAAAAAACGGAAGGAAAAAAAGAAGAAAGAAAAAAGAAGAAAAAGAGTAAAACGGCGCGATTTTTGGAAAATCATATAGATCCGCCCCTGCTTTTGGCCCCGTGGAGACAAATAAAGGCTTAAAAAAGCAAACAATTTTTGTTGTAAAGAATTATTTAAAAAAAAACATGAATATAACATCTACATTTTCGACATATTCCCAAGGTCACATATGCAATAGTGAATAAGTTTGTGAATATTAAACTAGTCACAAATAATTTTATGAGGGCCGCGGGAAGAAAAAAGCCACCCCAAAAAAAAGACTAAACAAGAAGGTGAGTATTCTTTATTATAAATATACATGAAGAGGTAAACAAATGAATAATAATATGATAATGAGATTTTGTTAGCCCTAGAAGTTAGTTAAACACTCAGACAGACTGTACATACATGTATGAACTTCTTTAAATATGGTTTTCATAGAGGGGAGGGGGATGCCGGGGGATGAGGAGAGCTAAAGTGGTGGCTTTGAGGACTTGAATTCCAAAATTCCACCACGATAAACGAACTTAGCAAAAGCGGCCTGATTTAAAAAAAAGTTCTATTCTTGTTCTTGGCATTAAACAGCTTTTCCATTAAAAAAAATATTTGGTCGATCTAGTAGTAGCTGCACTGATCTGTTTCCGCCTATCCGGGGGTTTCCGTACAGATCAGTGCAGCGAGACTGTATGACGTCATGTGTCAAAGGTCAAATAGGACATACCCCGTAATGTTTACAAATTTGCAATCGCTGTCGCTTATTATTGTCGCTTTATTCACGTAGCTAGCAGAGGGTAAAGTGGTACGTAATATCTTTCTTTGCTTTGTCCTTTTTTCCATCAACTTTCTACTTTTCACCTAATATATTATCTGAGTAGTTTATGAAATAGGTATAAATATAAGCTGTTTAGAACATCAAAGCTCTACTCCTCTAGCAGACTAGGGAAACAGTAACTCCAGGAAGCTCCGACGCCGATGCCGAAGGCGTCGGAGCTTCAGGTGGTGCATCGAAAAACATTCAAACAGCGGGTTGGGCGACATTATCTCAAAATATGCAAAGGAAGTAATTGCAATTTTGACTTACTAGGTTGCTCGACTCGATCCTCTGGGCTTCTATCTGGCAACGTGAAATTATAATTTGGAGAAGTCTTCGATGGGAAAAAGGGGGTGATTCTTCGTCCTACCCCGACGATTCTTCCATAATGTATGGTCGATTTAACCGACGAAGAGAAAGTACGCACTACCGCGCATGCGTACTTTCTCTTCGCCATGTTGAGTCGACGATACAACATGGAAGAATCGTTGGGGTAGGGTGAAGAATCACCCCCTTTTTCCCATCGAAGACTTCTTCAAATTATAATATCAAGCTGCCAGATAGATGCCCACAGGAGTCGAGCAACCTAGTAAGTCAAAATTATAATTACTATCTTTGCATATTTTGAGATAATGTCGCCCAACCCACTGTTTGAATGTTTTTCAATGCACCACCTGAAGCTCCAGTCGGAGCTTCCTGGAGTTGGGGAAACAGTAGACCAAATTTTTTGTCTCTTTCGTTCGTTATCCTCCGATTTGGGCAAGGTCGGTTCCTCTCTTTAGAGGAGCCGACCCTATGCAAATCAGAGGCTAACTGCTGAACAAAAGAGACACAAATTTTTAGATCTAGGGAAACAGTAACTCTAGCTCTGACATCAGAGCTTCCTGGAGTTAGGGAAACAGCTGAGATTTTATTCAATTCCAATTTCTAACCTCCGACTTGAGCTCGATCGCGACTAAAGGAAGTTACGGAACAGGCCAATGAAAGTTTGAGCAAATCACAGCTTTGCCCATTTGTGTAATTTGATTGCTCGCAACCTCAAAAATTCACAGCTTCCTTATATTGAATTGTATTTTTGGTCAAACCTTAACTGACCTAGCTGTTTATCTCATTTTTCTGCTTCTATAAAAACCATCTTGATATCAGGGTGGACTAGCTTCCCCTTTAAAGACATCCAGTGAATCCACATTTATGAGGGGGGGGGGGGGGCAGGTGATCTGAGGAGTGACTACTGGTACTGACATAATTATTATGGAGCGAGAAAATTTCAGAGGAGACTTACTCTGCCATGCCCATGATGGTAAATAATTTTTTAGAGGGTCTACATACAAGAGTTTTATACCGGTATAGATACAAGGAAAATATTAATATATTTTATATGTATATACTAGGAAGATATGAATAAGTTTAGATCTTTGAACAAAGTGATTAACTAGATCTACTTCCATTATTGGGGGGGGGGGGGACAAGTATATATGTATGTATATGTGTATGTGTATGATATGTATATACTAGGAAGATATGAATAAGTTTAGATCTATGAACAAAGTGATTATCTAGATCTACGGCCATTATTGGGGGGGGGGGGGGGACAAGACCTTTAGAGTTAGTTGAGAGGGTAGCAACCTCCACGACACATTGACAAAATTGTAGGAATAATAGTTGGACCTTTTTTTTCTTCTTTCCTCTCTTTCTCTCTAATAGATTCATCATGGTAAGGGTATGTGCCATCATCGGTTGTATAAATAGTACCAGACTGTTAAACGCATGGTACGTTCAACTGTGTGACATACATGGACGAAAGAATGGAAGCTGTATTTGCCACCCTCCGTTCACACTCTTTCCATTTCCATCTGAAAAACAACAACCAGAAAAACGTGAACACTGGATGAAAATGGTGAACAGAAAAAACAAGGATGGTGGAGATTGGCAGCCAAAAAGCTACGACAGAATATGTTCGAGACATTTTAAAGAAAGAGAGCCTACGGACTCATGGCCTGTTCCAACGGAAAACGTCGGCTACCAGATACCGTCTCCAACATCAAAGTCTCCAAGGCAACCACCCAAAGAAAAACCACCACATTCACAGGTCCTCCAAGAAGCGAAAGCAAAAAGAAAGCACAAAAGAGACCTGCCATCTACGGGCAGATCTCTAGAGGATGTGGATATTAAATTAGAACAAGCTGAGGATGAAATTGATACACCTCCAATGAAGAAAACATTCCAAGGCCTTAACGATCATGACTATGTGAAGTCAACCGACAAAAGTGAATGTGCACAATGCCGTGGAAAAGAAGAACATATACAAAATCTTGATACAATTATCATGAAACTAAGGAATCAACTCAGAGAGCAAGAAGCTAAATCAAAGCACCAACACTCAAGATTTAAGATCAGTAAAAAAAAAGTAATAAAATCAGATAAAACCGTGAATATATATATACATATACGGTACTGGCATCAGCTCCAAAGAAAAGTTGAAAAGTCTTCATTCCTTCCTGGAGCCAAAAAAGACGAGGTGTTGGAAAGGAGGAAAACCTTTTCCACGATCGTCACCATGTTCATCACCAAGATAATTGTTGATCCATTTTCAACAAAGGAAATTAACAAAAGACTTTACTACATTTCGTTGACAATCAGCCGTAGATGAAAGATTTTATGCATGGCTGATTGTCATCGAAACAGAGTTAGGTCTTTTGTCAATTGTGCTTTTTGCTACGGCAGGCAGCCAATGAAAACAAATTTGTTTGCTAAAATTATGAAAATGTAAGGGCTACTTTAAACAAACAGAACTTTGTCATTCCTTGCTCATTTTTCCTGATCGAGGTGTCATATGAAAGGGCAGAAACTCAACTTTCTAGAAGTTAGATTTTCTCTTTGAAATTCAGATACCGCCCGCCAAACGTCTTTTCGGTTTCCTCTCTTCAAATTGATTTTAATCACTCATGCATGAAATATGGATCATAATGAAATGAAAGAGGAGGATCTAAGCTTTCCAAATATGGGTCATTTATTAATTATAAATGTGATTAAGTTATGATAAAACATCGATAATTCTCGGTTTCGTTTTTTTTGGGACACACTGTATATTCTAGCCAACTTGCATCCCATCTCAGTGCAATTTACATCTCAGAATACTTATGACAATACGCAGCAGACTGAATTGCATTTATAATAACCATTTATTTTGGACTGCGTCAAAATTTTGCGTTGAACAATAGTTCACAAGAGAATATTACACATGTAACAACCAAGTTATATTTCACATAATTTGCAGGTACAGTAGAAATGAATTCAGTGATTTTAAGAACAAACTAAGTAAGTAATTACTTGTACATGTGCATGTACTTAATTTGTCTTATAAGCAGATACATGTATATACAGTAAATTTCAATATGTAGCATGCCGTTTTAGTTATACATGTAACAATTGGCATGTAACAAAATTCTGATATATATAACGATAATTTTGCAGGTTTAGCTCTTTATTACTATATATTTCTTTTCATACTCATCATGAACCATTTTAATATAACAAAGTAACTTCAGCTGCACATACAAATTTGTATAGGTTTCACTGCATTTATTTGATAAAGATATTTTAATAAATACTGTTGGTTACAACTAAAACTGTTTGAATTAGCAGTTGCCACAGTGTCAGAGTAGTCTTTACAGTGTATCAGATGCGATATGTGTATATGATTTAATATGTACTTGTAACAAAAAATAAAATGTTTTCAATTGAATTCTAAAATTCTCTTTTTATATTTTCCTTGGATTGCATGCAAGCATGGAAGTACATGTACATGAGTGTTGGTGCATGTTGGTGTACAGGTTTATGTGTGTGTGTGGATGTGTTTACATATATTTGCCTGTGGGAAGGTGACTGTTTATAAATGTAGCAGAATAGGAATTACAGAATAGTTGAATCAGAGGAATAAGCACAATGTCAATATCAAAGCATTCCAAAATACATGTATGTATATCAACAATATCTCAAGGAGGAGAAAGAAATCAACAGTCCACAAATGAATGTCATCTATTAAAACATTAGATTCCTCATCCATGACAGTTGACTTGAAAAATTCACAAAGAAAATCAAGGGGTTCCAGTAAAGGGATTAGGTAACTATGTCTCAGATTCTGAAACAAAATCCTAGATTTACACCACAGTAGCTCATGCTGCGATGATAATTATAAACCTTTAGGTCAGTCAGGAACACCATGACTTTTACAAGCCGATCGCCTGTCTGATTATCAAGATATTTATGATTGGAAATCGAATTCAAATTTTGCGTGTTCCTAAACACTACAGTCTTAAGCGAAGCGAGTATGGTGAAACCGGTCACTCAAAGATTTTTACTTTTTTGAGGCACTTTATGATCATTTTGAAGCGCAATTTTCTTGGGGCTTCAATATTACACCATATCAAAGACACTGATAACACGTAGGGCCATGCATCTCATATTTAACAATGTTAAACGATGCCCTTAAGAATCAAGAAACGCACAGGGAGAGATTGTAAACAAATGTGTGGTACCAAATGCATATGTACAAAGTCCACGTGCTGAATTCGCATTTCCTGTCTCATTTGACCTCTGACATACTACCTCTACGAGCTAACCGTGAACTGGCTTATCCCTGTGGTCTTACAGACATCTATAAAATCGGTTCCCTTCTAACTTTGTCCTTTCGGGAGGATCATCATTGGCAAATAATCGTCGATCTGGTTCCAAAGATTTATCTTTCGTGAGTTCTCTGTTTTCACTTGGACTTGGTGGTGAGAACTTGTTTCTTTCTCCGACTACTAGGAGGACATGTATCTTCCATATAACATCTGCAAGTCTTGAGGAGCATAAGGTCACATCTCGTCTTCTCCTATACCATGCTCACATGCTGGGTGATATCTCTACGTCATGGAGCATACTGTAGCTGACAAAATCTTGTTCTGTAATCAACCAAAAGAACATTTTAAAATGTTTATTGTACGAGTAGTTATTAAAGATAAGGTGATATGGTCTGTTTGGAGCCAGAACTGTGTTCAATCATAATCTCATGTATTTTAACACAGAGTTAACACCACTCTAGCTTTGAACGGATGATATGTTGTGCTTCGGTTTTGTTTTACCCAAAGCAATGCAATTTGATGTTTTCTGTGATACAAAATGTACCCAATGTTCATACCGGTACATATATATTATGATGCTGCATGAGAAGAAAAAAAATCATGAGGCAAAAAAAAAGCCTCTCTCTAGTTTATACTGTTTAGAAAAGTTTTAGGCCTTCAAACTTTAAATGCTGCAGAATAGGGAAAGTCTTTGAAAATCCATTTCAGAATACCTGTCTGTAAAGTCCAAGAAACTGTCGTTGAACTGAACAGAGAATGCTGGATGCTCTACAAGCCATTCCTGTATCATCTGATGATGTCTGGTGTCTGTCTCTAGCCATATAAACCCACGCGGTTTGAGAAGAAACCTGGCATGTTTGACGATTGCCTTGATGACATCCATACCTTCAGCACCTGCGTCAAGAGCCATCGGGTCTTCATTCCTAAAAACAAGAAAAAGTATGGAGGATAAGCATCACTAAAAGGGATATGGTGCACACACATGTAGGTAGTTTCCATGTGCATTAGGTCATAATTCGCTGACATCGACATGGTAGAATATTATTAATCCGTGTAAAAGCAAGAAATACCCCAAGTCTCTCGGAGAATCTTTGGGTGAGGGAAATGCACAATAATTTCTTTTTCTTATGAGGCAATTGGAGGAGGGAGCAGGGCATTACATAACAGATTTGGGATATGAAAGTGAGAGCGACTCCCAGTGTTCAATAAACGATTTAGAGATACTTGCCCTGATAGAGACAATATAAAATCCCCCACACAACTCAAGATGTGGTTCGAAGAATGTCATCCAGTCCAGTAACAGACAAAGTGCTTGATTTGCCCAACCAAAAGATGAATAATTAAAGAAGTGAGTTTTTTTAACTCAAATCTTTCTCATGAGATATTTCTGAAAAGCTTCAGTTCGTAACATTGATGCTTTTCTTTTCACTGACCTTAAGATTTCTGGGCCGAGATCATCCATATCCCGCGTAAATAGGTAAGGTGGATTGCTGACAATGACATCATATCTCGTACCGTACTTGGAATGAATACGTAGAGGACTCTCATCAGTCAGGGTAGTATGATGAACGCTGAGACGATTACTAACACCAAGTCTAAATTGTAACAAAATGAGGAAGAAAAAGGTGTATCTTATAGTCTGTACATGTTTTGTTCATCCTTCGCACAAAAGAAGATGACGATTTTCAGGTTTGTATGTATGGAAGTGGCTATAGAGGCCAGTCCATCAAACCCTGAGTTTTCTTGAGCAGTGATGGCAAGATCAGAGTGCCAAAGGGTCGTGGGTTTGAAGCTTGTTGCATGCATTATACTGTTGCATGTATATCTGGAGCAAAGGTGATCTTACAGAAATCGACGATTGTTCCACTGAGAACCGATACATCTGGCTCCACCGCCTCTGTGCAGAGACTGAAGTGCATCATACGGGTTAGTGGGGGGAGCCGGGAGGTTACCAAATGCAGTTTGTGTGTGATTGTCGATCCCATCGCGCACAATGGCTCAAAAAGACAGATTATCTGAAAATAAGTCCTTATGTTTGTTCGATGATCTGCATCAAATTTTTAATGTTATTTTTATGTTATATAAGAATTACATCTAGATGGCATGTCTAAATTATGAATCAAACCATTAGGAATAGAATAAACGAAAATGGTGACAATTTTTTTTTCGCCGGCTAGTTAGTCCCCCCTTTGTGCCTGCCACAAGGGTTAGCATATATGGGGAAGGTAGACAAATGTCAGCTTTATCAAGGAATTCCCCATACCAGATGTTCATTTCTGTCTAAGGTGATATATACATTAGACCAGGCATACACATTCCTAAAACTGTACTGTGCTGTAAAATAGTGTTCCCTCCATGTTTATAGTGAATTATACTCTCAGACTACAAGAGATTAACAAAATTAACCAAAGAAAAATCTTTGAGTGGGGGGGGGGGGGGGGGGGGGGAGGAAAGGCTGGCATTACCTAAGGGGCGATTTGTTTGTGAAACTCAATATCAACCATACCTAGAGGCATTTTCCTGTGTTAGCATCACAGCATCCCTGCTTGCATCTAATGCTGTTACGTGTGCCTATAGATGGAAAGTAAAAATGGAAAAGACATTTTGTATAAAAGAATAGAAAACCAAATCATTGATCTTTAATGATCTTTAAAATGCTACTTTTCCTGTAGACATCGGCATACACAGCATACTTTTGCAATGAAAATAAAGCAATGAACTGCAGATTACAAATGGTAATGGTGAAATGGAGGAGTAATAGCAGATTTATATCATGTTGGATTCTACAGTCTTATTAACAGATGACATGGGGCACATGTCTTATAAAGAGGAGTCATATCATTTTCTGTCTTGGAACAAATGGGAAAGTTGTCCGCCACTACATCACAGAGACATTACCTTCTGAAATTCATGGAGGAGTGAGAGACCAATGGCACCGGAACCGCAACCAACTTCAAGAATATCAAGTTCATCATCCTCTTCGTAATAACTAACTAGCAGATCTACCAACATCTAGAATACAATGTGGGTAAAACAGTGGGAAATCGTCAAATGACTGATTTTATTTAAGCATTCAAGCCAAACTTCATTTGGCACCAAGTTATGCACCAAGTTATGCACCAAGTACACATACTAAATTTAAATGAAGATCATTCAAATTTATTGCAAATTCAATATTCTAATAATCCAATAAGATATATTTGAAATTAGAGGAACAAAGAAAAGAAGTAGAACTCTGTCTGTCTATTGTACTGCACTGATCAAAATGTGAACATTTAAAAAAAAATATATCTTTTAAAGACTATTGACATCAAACTAAACCTAGATTCCTTTTAGTAAGACGTAGATAGTGACTTCTGCATGGGGAGATTATCGTTTGTAAACATACACAATGTACAATTATTGGATTATCTTGTTCTTTTCCAGAGGGCACATGACACCAAAATCTCAATTACCGAGTACATGGATAATGCAAACACATGAAGCACTGAATCTAGTCATTTACTTCTCAAGCAGACATGGACGCTTACTTTTAATACTTTAAAAGCTGACATCCCCTTATTCATTTCATGCACGTATCATCTCAAAAGAGCTTATATAACAGTTATGAATACTACATCTAGACTAGTAGTCAAAGTCTTAACATATTTGATTGTTGAACAGTAACTTACTTCTGTCTCCGGTCTAGGTATAAAGACAGGGGCCTTCATCTTCAGTGTGAGGTCACGGAAATCCCACTCTCCTAGAATATACTGCATCGGTACTCTGAAACGTATCAATACACAATTCATTAAGATTAGAAATTAAACCCAAGTAAAATAGAGTACAGAATATGAGATCTTAAACAATGCCAAATAGGCGTATACAGCAAAGTAATAATATCAATTACGATGAAATGGTATACATGTACTTTTTTTAATTTGATCACTGACTTAAGATATAATGTAGGCCTACATTTGAGACCGACTTCTTATAAAAACCTTTTCATTCCCTTGTGAATTTCATTTGATAAACATTTAATAAAAACAACTGATTTTGCTTCAATAAAATTTACTATACATGTTATGATGTGATTCCATCCTCTCTTTTATGGTAAGTAGCTTCATTGACTTTGAAGTTTGAAACATTCCCACCTATATGCCATAACTAGGCCAAATAAAGATATGCCAATACTCTGTAAGAGGGATGTACTCCAATGGAAGAAGAAGAAGAAGGAGAAGAAGAAAATGTTAGAGCTCAGACATGTTTCAAAATATATTTCATTCACCTTGCCAATTTCTGACTGGCTAATTCCATGACTCTACTTCTCTCCTCAGTCGACAGGATCCTTGACTGGTCTATTCTTGCAAACTCTGAAAGCTGCATAACAAAATAAGCACAAACAGATGATGCGTTACTGACCTCAAAACACTAAGATGTTGATGGATTATTAAAGATGAAGTTGAGTTCTGGTCATGCGATTGCATTGTGAAAGAAACGATGTGGAACCGATCAGAAAAGGTTAATCATCTAGCATAATATTTGTGTGTATTGCAAGGTTTTGGAATCAACAAAATGATAAGAAATTTGGCCAAGTCTTGGTAAAGTTACAAACACTGTACACAGAAAAATGTATATGGGACTACACGAACAAGTGGCGTAAAAAGCCGCCCCCCCCCCCCCCGATTTTTACGATGTTACATGCATATTTAGAATATGAAGGCATTTGAAGAGCCATGCTTTTCAGGGAACATGTCTTATCTGATGTTCTTCCACACTTGCATAATAAGAATGAGTAACGCTCACAAATTATTTTTCACCTCTTCCCAGAACTCAACCTTCTCTTTAAGATATTATAAACCAAGGATCCTAACCAATTACGTATATCATACATTAGAATACAGATGCACAGTTGGTGTACTTGTTACTGTCGGTTATTCTTTACGATCTGTACGGATGCAGGCCGGGCCCTACTGGGAATAAACACACCGGAGTACTGGGTTGTGCAGGTGGACTACTACACCGGGGCTTCCCCCCTACTCTTATACAAATAGTGCAGTGGGTTCTTAACATGCAAAGGTGGTGAGTGGTGACTCTCCTGTACACGGGGGCCTCCATTTAATGTCCTATCCGAAGGACAGAGTGTTTTGTCTATGAAACAAGGGGAGGGGCACGTTGTATGTCAACACACAACGCAGGCTTCAGTAATCCACCTAGGTTGGGATTCGAACCCAAGATCTTTGGTTCGATAGGCAGACACTTTACCGACTGGCGACTGAGCCAACTTGCCTCCCTGAATTATTCATTTGACCATCAGTCTTTATCACTTCAAAAATGATACAACATAAAATCCAGAAAAGTACAGAATAAAAACAAGGAAACATAGAAAAAGGAGGTATTATGTGAAATACAATTCTCAAAAGAGGAATTTTGGAAATAAGTCATAACTATAGACTTGAGAGCTCGAGATGGATGGAGCTGAAGTAGTTTACTGAAAGTTTGTAACTGATCAGCAGATGGTTTTTAAAAAGATAAAGCCACAGTGAAAACAAAAGTCAGACTCAGAGGGTTTAAAAAGACAGGTGAAGCCCACTTAATGTGGGTTCACTTGCCACTTGAAACGAAAAGGCCTATAAAAGTTGATACTCTGTAATTTTGTACATACATTATTAGTCATTAATTAATAGGCATTTCTTTTTAACACTAACATCATGCTTAATGGCAATCATGTATGATGCATGATAATTTATATAACGTAATGAAACTTCCCAGCTTATGAACACACAAGTTACCTGCCTAACTCCCAAGACATGAGCAACAATATACTCAGCAGATACATCAGATTCTGGAATATCTTCTTTTTCAAATTTCTCCATCAGTTTAGTAACTGCACCAGACACCGTTTCTCTTTCACTGAATGAGCTAGTCCACGAATGACAAGTTCTCCTCTGATCCTGATGAAATTGCTGTGGTCTTCGTGGGACTAGATATGGACACAATCTCTGGTGAGAACATCTTAAACTTGAACATGAAGTTGAATAGAGCTTGGGGTACCGTGTTGTACCAATGATATTCAAGTTCAAGAAGTGTTTTGGTGCTGCTGCCGATGATGCTGGCGATGGTGCTGGTGGCGAATCACGAAAAGTTGATTTTAATTTTGACCACAGCATTTTCTCTCGAAAATCCATTTTACCCCGTGATGACGCGAAATGTCTCGAGTTACATCTTAAACTTAAAGCTGATGCCAGGTATCGTGATCTATTCATTATGATAGGTAAATATTCCGAATTTTTAAGGTGAACTCAGTAAGCAAACCTTCAGTTGCGCTCTCTTCTTGTCTACGTCCAGTATAATTGGGATGATCAACCCGGGGCTTCCCCCGGCTGGATAACGCTGCGTTTACGGCGTATTTTTGGTTCCATGACACATGCTCCGCCGACGATTGCTCCGCCGACATTTACTCCGCAAAACGCGACAATTAATTGCCCCGCGACAGTTGCTCCGCCGACATGTGCTCCGCCGACATGTGCTCCGCCGACAATTCCTCCGCCGACATTTTGCTCCGTCGACAATTGCTCCGCCGACATTTGCTCCGCCGACAATTGCTCCGCCGACAATTGCTCCGCAAAACGCGACAATGATCCGGTGACAAATGCTCCTCGAACGACAGTTGCTCCGCCGACAGTTGCTCCGCCGACAATTGCTCCGCCGACAATTACTCCGCAAAACGCGACAATTGCTCCGGTGACATTTGCTCCGCCGACAATTACTCCGCCGACATTTGCGCCGCCTCATCGGAAGCGACACTTGCTCCGGTGACATTTGCTCCGCCGACAATTGCTCCGCCGACATTTGCTCCGCTAAAAAAGTGCCCCGAAAAATACAAAGGCTACTACGACAATTATCAGGTGGGCTGTATAACGTACAGACCACCTTATAATTTCGTTAGAATTGCCTTTATTTATTTATCAGGTGGGCTGTATCTAATACAGACCACCTTATATTTTTGTTAAAATCGCCTTTATTATTTATTTATTTATTATCAGGTGGGCTGTATAACGTACAGACCACCTTATAATTTCGTTAGAATTGCCTTTATTTATTTATTTATTAAATATTTTTCTTATTTCTAACCACTTTTTTGTTAGCAAGAAAACTTGAAAATGGCTCAATCAAATGCCTTGAAATTTGGCACACATATGTATAGGCATATGTACAAAGCACAATAACGTTTTCAACATTGACCTTCACTGATGACGTCATCTAGGCGCCATTTTGTAAAAATCAACTCATGATCATATCTTCATAACCAAAAGCTATTTCTCATTCATATTTATCATGATCGAGGTCAATATCCGTCCGGTCAATTTCAGGTCAAATAACGCGCACGTGCGCGTACGTCCGCGCGTCAATGCGCGCGCAAAATGTTAAAATGCTCAAAATCGTCTCAAAATCATTTTGCATACGTTTTAGGCCATTCTAAGCATTTTATAAAAAATCGCGCACGAGCGCATGCGCGCGCGTTTTCGCGCGTAAAACTATTACACAACATAGAATCGCCATTTTTTTTCTTTCATAATATTGCACATATTTTTACAAACAAATTGAAACCATGTTTATTTCTTTATGACTATTAATAACGGAATGATCACCCGTTTAACATAAATTTCCGTGCGCGCGAGCTCTTGTAATACATATCATAAATGGGCAAAAAGATGCCTATACAAAATCCATTGTAGCTCTTTAGGATGCAAGGTGACCCCAATTTTTTTCTTCTTATTGTGATAGAATATGAATTGGAGATATGATTTCAAGTCTCATTTGACCCTTACTTTTCTCATGACGTCATCATAATGGCCTCCGAACTCATAATTTCAATTTGCATATTATGATGTCAGCATATTTTTCATAAATTGATTGCATCTCTGTAAATATTGATCGATTTTCTTCCAAATTTCGATATGTTCTAGCTGAGACAATTCATTACGAATGTAGTTAACAACATTTTTCATTTTTGACAAAGGAATCATGGCGTATTTTTGCGATTAAAGGATGCATGTCAATTTTCACTTTTTGCGTGTATTCTCTATGGGACATGACTTTTTCTCAAAACCGGATTCTACATTCCCGTCTTTCGCGAGCAATATCTCCGTCGTTTTAGCTTCGTTTACGCTGAACTTTGAGTATGATGTAGCTGAGACAATTAGCTATCTCAAATGTGCCCTTCATTTTGTCTAAAATTTTAGTTGGACCAGCCCACCTATACTTGTTCCAAACAAGTATTACAAATCTAGTTTATTTTTCTTATTTCGACCCACTTTTTTGTTAGCATGATAACTTTGTAATGGTTCAATCAAATGCTTTGATATTTAGCACACATATGTATAGGCATATGGACATAACACAGTAAGGTTTTCAACCTTGACCTTGACTGATGACGTCATCTAGGCGCCATTTTGTGAAATTTTCTGAAAATCAACTCATGATCATATCTTCATAACCAAAAGGTATTTCTCATTCATATTTATTATGATCAAGGTCAATATCAGTCCAGTCAATTTCAGGTCAAAAAACGCGCGCGTGCGCGTACGTCCGCGCGTCAATGCGCACGCAAACATTTTAAATGCTCAAAATCGTCTCAAATTAATTTTGCATACGTTTCAGGTCATTTTAAGCATTTTATAAAAAATCGCGCGTACGAGCATGCGCGCGCGTTTTCGCGCGTAACACCATTAAAAACCATAGAATCGCCATTTTTTTTTCTTTCATGATATTTCTCATATTTTTTCAAGGAATTTGATTCCATTTTTATCTCTTTATGACCATTATTAACAAGATGAGCGTAAATTCAAGATAAATGTCAGTGCGCGCAAGCTCTTTTAATACATAGCATATATGGGCACAAACATGCCTATACAAAATCCGTTATAGCTCTTTGGAATGCACCGGGATCCTCAATTTTTTTTCATATTAAGATAGAGTATGAGTCGGAAATATGATTCCATGTCTCATTTGGCCATTAAGTGTATCGTGACATCATCACAATGGCCTTGGAACTCAAAATACGAATTTGCATATTATGACGTCAGCATATTTATGTAAAATTGATTGTATCTCTGTAAATATTGATCAATTTTCTTCAAAATTTCGATATGTTGTAGCTAAGACAATTCTCTACAAGCGCAGTAATAACCATTTTTCCTTTTGATGACGTCATCATAGTGAAAATTTTGATTAAAGGCCTCATGTCAAAAACTTCATAATTTGCGTGTTATGCCTATAGAAGGTGAATTTAGTTCACGTTATGAATCTACATGATATTGTCTTTTAAGAATTTGTAAGCAGTATGTCGCTTAATTTTGCTCTATTTTGTCTCAAATGTTAGTTGACCAGCCCACCTATACTTGTTCCAAACAAGTATTATATGTCTAGTTTATTAAATATTTTTCTTATTTCTAACCACTTTTTTGTTAGCAAGATAACTTGAAAATGGCTCAATCAAATGCCTTGAAATTTGGCACACACATGTATAGGCATATGTAAAAAGCACAATAACGTTTTCAACATTGACCTTCACTGATGACGTCATCTAGGCGCCATTTTGTAAAAATCAACTCATGATCATATCTTCATAACCAAAAGCTATTTCTCATTCATATTTATCATGATCGAGGTCAATATCCGTCCGGTTAATTTCAGGTCAAATAACGCGCACGTGCGCGTACGTCCGCGCGTCAGTGAGCGCGCAAAATGTTAAAATGCTCAAAATCGTCTCAAAATCATTTTGCATACGTTTTAGGCCATTTTAAGCATTTTATAAAAAATCGCGCATGCGCGCATGCGCGCGCGTTTTCGCGCGTAAAACTATTACACAACATAGAATCGCCATTTTTTTTCTTTCATAATATTGCACATATTTTTACAAACAAATTAATACCATGTTTATCTCTTTATGACTATTAATAACGGAATGATCACCCGTTTAACATAAATTTCCGTGCGCGCGAGCTCTTGTATTACATATCATAAATGGGCAAAAAGATGCCTATACAAAATCCATTGTAGCTCTTTAGGATGCAAGGTGACCCCAATTCTTTTCTTCTCATTGTGATAGAATATGAATTGGAGAAATGATTTCAAGTCTCATTTGACCCTTACTTTTCTCATGACGTCATCATAATGGCCTCCGAACTCATGATTTCAATTTGCATATTATGATGTCAGCATATTTTCAAAAATTGATTGCATCTCTGTAAATATTGATCGATTTTCTTCCAAATTTCGATATGTTCTAGCTGAGACAATTCATTACAAGACAAAGGAATCATGGCGTATTTTTGCGATTAAAGGAGGCATGTCAATTTTTCACTTTTTGCGTGTATTCTCTATGGGACATGACTTTTTCTCAAAACTGGATTCTACATTCCCGTCTTTCGCGAGCAATATCTCCGTCGTTTTAGCTTCGTTTACGCTGAACTTTGAGTATGATGTAGCTGAGACAATTAGCTATCTCAAATGTGCCCTTCATTTTGTCTAAAATTTTAGTTGGACCAGCCCACCTATACTTGTTCCAAACAAGTATTACAAATCTAGTTGTAATTGCTCCTCCCCAAAAGTACCCCGCAAAAGACAATGCTCCGCCGACAATTAAATTGCTCTCTGATCCAAAAGTGCGGCCTCGTGGAAGACATGAATGCTCCTCTGGCAATTAGTGCAATAAATGCTCAGCCGTTTTTTGCTATTCCCCATAATGTTTGATTTAAAAAAACATCAAGTTTTAGCTCCTTATGCAAGTTCTCCAGCGAAAGATAATTACTCCGCTCAAAATCTGTTTCATTTATTACTCATTAGCCGATCAAAAGCTCAAGGATATCTCTCTCTCTCTCTCTCTCTTGCTCTTTCTTTTCCTTTTTACACCCTTTTCTTGTCTTCTTAGCTCTTTTCTTTCCTCTCATGCTATTAGTCTTCTTTCATTTTCATCACTTCTTCTTTTCTTCCCCTCTCGAGTTCTAGTTCTCTCGTGAAATTGTAACGTAACGTAGTACATGTAGTACATTCTTGTTTAGAATAGTATTTTCAATAATATCCAGTCCGTCTTCTATAGGTTTCTTTCCTTCAGTTAAGTGTATGGTAGCTTTACTATATAATATATTGGTGTGTAAAACACCCCGACTCATTCGAGTACTTTGTTTTCACTGACTTTAAGGGACTCACGGAACCACCGGGAAAAGAGCAATTGGCTTATCGTGAAGAACTGACATCAAACTGCAACAAAATGATTTGTATAAATGGGAATAAGCAAAAAGGCTGCAATCTAATTTTCCCGTCTGAATGGGTTCTCTTCTTTACGTATAAGTGCCCTTCAAAGCTTATTTTTATCCCTCCCCTGTTGCTTTCTAGAACTTCCACGATGACCATCAGGGGCGTCGCTAGACCTTTTTCAGTGGGGGGGGGGGGGGTGTGGA